AGAAGAAGAAGAAGAAGAAAGAAGAAGAAGAAGAAGAAGAAGAAGAAGAAGAAGAAGAAGAAGAAGAAGAAGAAGAAGAAGAAGAAGAAGGAAGAGGAAGAAGAAGAAGAAGAAGAAGACGAAGAAGACGAAGAAGACGAAGAAGACGAAGAAGACGAAGAAGACGAAGAAGACGAAGAAGACGAAGAAGACGAAGAAGAAGAAGAAGAAGAAGAAGAAGAAGAAGAAGAAGAAGAAGAAGAAGAAGAAGAAGAAGAAGAAGAAGAAGAAAGAAGGAAGAAGAGGAAGAAGAAGAGGAAGAAGAAGAAGAAGAAGAAGAAGAAGAAGAAGAAGAAGAAGAAGAAGAAGAAGAAGAAGAAGAAGAAGAAGAAGAAGAAGAAACAAACACAAGGTGCTACTCTGCCCTGGAGTCACACAAGCTGAGGCACAGAGCTCGCTGCCCTGGGAAAGGGTCTAAGGGATTGGGCACTGCCACTCAGAAGGGATTGGGCACTGCCACTCAGAGGGAAGTCGCTCCCCGGCAGTGCCAGCTTTCTTGTCTTTAGAACTAGTCTGGCAACTCCTCAGGCTCAGCGAGGGCTGGAGGTGCAGGACTGGCCACCGCAGCAGAACTTTGGCAGCAGCAAGACGGAGCTCTGGACCTTCAGCTCTCTGCCACCTCTCCCTCTAGGAACCAGAAAGAAGGAACAAGCGGGTGCAGATGGAGATGCTGGTGTCCAGGACACCCGAGCGGCCTCAGCGCCCCCCACCCCGTCACCACAGGGGCCCCTCGGGTGGGGCTGCCAGGGCAGAGCAGACACACCCCAGAGGCAGCAAGACCCACTATCAGGCAACTGCAGTGTGTTAGTGGCTGAGTGCAGACAGCTTATCGCCCTCAGCCCTAGGCCCAGATGTACCCGGCCAGGGGTCACTGCCCCAGCCCGTCGTCCTCCGCCCAACGGCAGCAGCCACCTGGGAATCAAAGAGCCCCCGGGGTGGGGGTTGAGGGGTGGCACCCAAGTCCTTTTGCTCATGCCTGTAATCCCAGAGCCTGAGGGGCTGAGGCAGGGGCATCACCACTGGGTTCTAGGCCAGCCCGATTTGTACAGTAAGACCCTGCTTCAAAAAATAAATATAAATATAAAAATAAACAATGCTGGGCATGGTGGCACATGTCTATAATCCCAGAACTTGGTAGGCTGACACAGCTGTGAGTTCGCGGTCAGCCTGGGCTACATATCAAGATCCTGCCTCCAATAACAATAATTAAATACATGTGAGAGAAGCAATTTCATCATAGTATGCTTGCTCAGCCCATCTCTCTGACCTTGAAGGAGGCCCCTGGAGGACTTGGAGGTACTCCTGGGCCCCCACCCCCCTTAGGAGCTGATGGGGGGTCTTTTGGGGGACAGCACCCAGCACTGCCTGGTCTGCAGGTTGGGGTCACCCTGTGGCCCTGGCCAAGGGCCAGGCGAGGATGACAGGCCCCTGGGCACCTGATAAGAGCCCTGTCTTATCGGAAGCTCAAGGCCCGGGTGGGGCACAGCTGGAATTCAAAGCAGGTTCGCAGAACTGGGGAGGGGGCATGGGAGCCTCAACTGATGCTCCAGGCCTGCAGGAAAGGGGCAGCAAGATACCCTAGGGAGGCAGGGCAGGGCACCCACTGCAGCCTGAGGACTGTGGGTCCCAAAGAAACCCTACAATCCCTGCACTGGGAGGGAGCGGGGATGCTAGCAGGAAGATCATGTGCTGGCCCAGTGGGAAAGCCAAGGTCCAGGGCATGACTGGAGAAGACCCGCACTGGCTGAGGACCTGAAGAGCTGTTGAACACTGTCCTGAGTGGCGGGCAGCCAGTGGCACCTGACAGGGGCTGAATCAGAGACAGAGTGTCCCACACCCTCAGTGCCCTGTGAACCAGGAGGCATACTTCTGAGGTTCACATTCAGGCCTTGGCCCAGGCAGGGACCCTGGGGGCTCTCTTCCTGCTGGGCAGAGTTGTCAGGGACCACACAAGCACATGCAGACCTTCTAGGGTGAACTTCTCCCCTGGGCCATGTGTGCACAGGACACTATGGTGGCAAGGAGCAATGACGTCAGGCCCTTGGTACATGTTTGGACCTCCTTGTCCCCCAAGGTTCTCTAGTGTGGAGCCCCACAATTCTAAAACAGCAGCCAGCTGCACAAGGGGAAAATAATCACAGCCCATGCCATCCTGGTGCAGGCCACATTCACGGCGTGCCAGCCCTAGGCAGCGATATTGCTCCCAACCCCACAGTCACGCTGGGCCATTGGCACAGCCACAGTTTGGAGTGTGCCCTCTCATCCCCAGAGGCCTGGGATTCCCACAGCCTGGATCCAACCTAAGGACAGGATCAGAATCAGCACGTGTTGCCCAGCAAGAGGAGGGATCAGGGTGGGGCAGGGACAGGAAGGATGCAGGCTGGCCTGTCAGGGAGTGTCCCACAGTGTGGCCTCTAGGCAGACAGGAGGGCCTGGCTCACCAATTCCCAGGCATCTGGCGCCCCCTGCAGCTATACATGGGTGCTGCAGGGCCGGGGCTGGATCCTTCCCAAGTATTGATTCCATGAGTAGTCCAGGCTGACTTTGAGCTGGGTGATCCTCCTGCCTCAGTCTCCAAGCCCTGGGATGGCAGGCATGTGCCCCCATGCTGGCACTGCGGCACCATTTTACAGAGGGGAGAAACAGTAAACATCTTGCCCAAGTTCACAGAGCCAGGCAGTGCTGGGGCTGGAGCTCAGGTCTCCAGGGGTCCCCAGACTTTGATCTAGCCTCTGATGCACTCCCTTGCCTGCAGCTCCTGATACCCAGGTCAGACACACAGTAGGGCATTAACACCTGAGAAAGACATTTAATTTAATGGCAGGCAAGGTGGTCCTGGCAAGGCGGGCGCAGAGCCTCTTGTAGGGGTTCAGGTGGTGGCATGTGGGTGCAGATGCTCCTGGCCTTGCCGGGGACGGAAAGGGGAGCGGGAAGCCGGGGCTGGTCCAGGAGTCTCCTGCATCCGGTGCCACGCAGAGCCGGTGGGGAGCTAGACAAAGTGGGAATGTGTGTCCCTGGCGCACAGCCAATCCTCTGCTTTCAAGCAGAGCAAAGGAGAGGCTGGAACTGTAGGACTCAGGCCAAGGGCTGGGGCTCCTTTTTTTTTTTTTTTTTTTTTTTTTTTTTTTAAGACAGAGGCTTGCTTTGTACCTCAGGCTGGCTCAAAGTCATAATGATCCTCCTGCCTCAGCCTCTTGAGTGCTGGGGTTGCAGGTGTGCACCACCATGCTCAGCCCCCAACTCCTAATGTTTCCCTTTACGTGTTTCATGTGAAACCTCATAAAGAATCTCCCAGCCAGGCATGGGGACATGTGCCTGTCATCCCAGAACTCAGGAGGCTAAGACAGGAAACTTGCAAGTTTGAGGCCAGCCTGGGCCACATGGTGAATTCAAGGCCAGTGAGATCCTGTTTCAAGTAAGTAAAAAGTTTAAAAAGCTGGGGATGGAGTTCAGTGAGAAGGCCGAGTTTAAACTCCAGTAGGCCCAAAAATCGCCACAAAAATCCTTTAATAGATGAATCCTCCTCACTGAACAAAGCCAGTCTCAGGCCTCCAAGAGGATAACCAAGTAGGAGGGGCAGTTCTCACTTTTGCTGTTTCTAGCACCCCTGGGTGTGTGCTACAAGCCTGTCCCCGCCTGCCCTGCCCCCAGGTCTGCATTCCTGGCCCCCAAGCACTGAACCTATCCTAGGGGCTCCCCTTTAATGCCCCTCTCTCTGTAACCACCCTACTTCTTACCTCCTGGAGGGCGGCAGCCTCCCCACCCCCTGGAGGACCCTTCCCTGGGCAGTGGCCCAGAGGCTGGGGTGGAGTTTCTGGGCAGGGTAGGTGACAGTTAGTGCAAGGGCACGGTGGGCTGTGCAGGACTGGCATGAGTACCCCCTCAGGCTCCAGCGGTCTCTGAAGCCAGACAGCGTCAGACATGTACCTGGGGAGACAGGCCAATGCAAGGGTTCTGGCCTCTGTGCTTTGGGGCCACACAGCTCATGTACCCCACTGCTTGGGGCAAGGTCCCACCCAGGCGAGGGATTAGGGACTCCCATAGTGCCCTGGAGAATAGTGAGGGGCAGGGCCTGAGAGCCCAGGGGAGAGCGGACTCAGCTTTCCCCACCCTGCCCTGCCCCACCCAGCTCTTGGGTTTGCAGACTTACGGAGGTCCCAGGGGTGCGAAGAGTGTCAGGTACCAGTTCCTGGCACAGCCCTGGTTGAATGGGTTGTATCCCTGAAGGTCTCTGCACTGGAGGGGAGCCCGAGGGGATGCGAAGCTGGAACCAGCAGGACTGAATGGGCCACCCCAGGGACCCTCAGCCAGGGCTGCAGCCAGAGCCAGGGACAGACAAGCCACGCCCGAAGCACAGACTCTGCCTCCTAAATGGTTCCTCCCCAGACTTCTCAGGACTCTAGTGTCCTGTTCCTCTTTCTCTCTGTCCCCACTGGCCAAACGCATCCACACATCCTCCTGCCAGCTCCTCCCTCCTTCCTTCTGTTACTCAACTGCCCCAAAAAAGGTCTCACTCCATGTCCAACCCCTTTTTCTCACCTCTCATCTTTCTTTCTTTTCTTTCTTTCTTTCTTTCTTTCTTTCTTTCTTTCTTTCTTTCTTTCTTTCTTTCTTTCTTTCTTTCTTTGACAGGATCCCACTACTAGTTCAGCTAGACTTGAACTCACTATGGAGCCAAGGCCAACTGGAGTGATCCTCCTGCCTCAGCCTCCTCCATCCTGGGACTCCAGCCAAATCTCTGATTTATTTTCCCTAAGAATCACCTTCACTGGATGTCACTATCTGGAGGGACAGTGTGTGACTAATCACGCTTTCCTCCTCAAAAACCACAAGGCCGAGGGCAATCTGGGATGAAGGCGGTAAAGATCATCTTCAGGATGTTTGGTTAAGGGGCCCTCCTCACCCTCTCCTCTCCCAAGTCCCCATGCTTCCCTGTCTCAGCCTTGCCTGGATTCCAGAGTCCTAATGGCAAATGTCTGGTCACAAGGAGAAGCCCCTCCCCCCCCGCCTGCCCCAATAGCCCACATGCCTGCCTAGCAGGCAAACAGATCTCCCAACACTGCCCTCACTCAAGGAGCCAGATGGCCAGGTGGCCTGGATGTCCTGCCATGGTTGGGAAAGGACCCAGGCCATTGTGCTGGAGGACAACTGGCCTCCCTGCAGGTGTTAAAGTGCTGAAAAGAGAGTGGGGTCCTATTCAAGGCTCTTTGGTTGCCAGTTGTGGCTGTCCTGGAGGGAGCAAACACCTCTCTAGGCCCCACTGGGAAGGCACGCCCTCTAGATTTCTCAAGTCCCCTCAGAGATCTGGAGGAAGATTCCTGGCTCCCTGCTTGAGTGGCTCATACTGGACTGCAAAGGGAGGGAGGAAGATGCAGTCTGTCTGTCTGCCTGCCTGCCTGTCTGATTCCAGTAAGGTCCCTAAGGGCACTCCAGTTAGTCTGTTGTTCAGCCCTGCCCAGCTCAACAGAAGGAGAGACTGATCACCTCTTGTTAGTCAGGACCACCCTCCAGGTAAGCGGGTTGGAAGGGTTAACCTCTGAGCACCTGCTGAAGGAAGGTGTCAGCGAGTGGCACAGACAGCTTAAGCAATAGGCTGCTCCGTTTGTGCACCACGAGAGGGAAGCACTAGTCGAGTGGCTAACTGGGCCCTCCCCCTGCTCTTCTGTGGTGTCAACATATGGCATAATGGAGGCCTCATAATGTCCTTAACTAAGTTGCATCTAAGTCCCCTCAAGAGGTACAGCCAGGTGGGAATCGGAACAGTCTCTCTCTGAAATGCCCCACCCTCTGTCTGTTGCCCACTGCTCAAGGGTACAGAACACACAGGTAGGAAGTAGGAGATGGGGATTAATTGGTCAAAACCCACAGCCCCTGAATGTATGAAAAAGGCTTTTATGAAGTTAAGAATGAAACCAAACCACTCCTGCATCTCAAAGAAAAAACAGGGAAAAGAGGCCCATTCTTGTGGCAATCCTGCACCAGCACCTTCATCAGCTGCCGAAATTGCTGCCAACAGTCTCACCCCTGGCTCCCAACTGGTCTACTTCCAGCCATCTGAACTGGTTTCAGCTAGTCATTGCCCACGTTTGGCCACAGGGCACCCTCAACACTCTGCTTCATGGTTTCCTATCTTGGTCTGATGGCATCAGTCAGTGTCCACCCAAGATAACTCAGCAATTCCTTCTGAGTTCCACATTTTGACTGAGGAAAATAGGACTGTGAGCCCTGATGAATGAGCTGCCATGGCCTTTCCAAAGGTCACCTCACCTGGAAACAACCCAGTCAAATGCTTTTTAAAACCATCAAAAAGGAAGGCAAAAAGCCCAAATACTGTTACCCAGAAACATGATTTTTTAAAAAAAGCACTTGATGTCCATAAGAAAATTCAGGCTGATAGATGACTATACCATGAATTATAAGGACTACGGACACTAAAAAAAATAAAATAAAAAGATTAAAACTTCTCAAAAGCTTCAACCTAAATAAATAAATAAATAAATAAATAAATAAATAAAAAGCTTCAACCTGGGTGAGAAAACCTCTCAGCAGTCTGGCAGGCTCACACTAGGCCAGACCGGGCTCCCTTCTTCAGCTGGGCCACCTGGAGCCCATGGTACCATCTCTAAGGCAAGTGGGACTCTTGCCTTTTCCCCCTTTTATCAGGTACAAACTTGCAGCCTGAGAGGACACGTCACAAAACAAATTCCTGTATAGGCCAGTCCCCCACCACTTCTGGGAAGAGACTTCCTCTTCAAGTTAGAAGTGACTGTCTCCTTTGCACCAAGTCAGTCAGCTTCCCTCTCATTTAACTCTGCACTTTCTTTTGGGGGAAGGGGTGGTATCAGGGATGGAACTCAGGACCTTGTCCCTGCCAGGCAACCACTTATGCCCCTGAGCTATCTCCCCAGGCCCTAACCCTGCACTTTTAACTCTGACTGTTCTGTGAGAAGAAGATGATGCTTGTATCAGCCTGAGACAGGTAACTGCAATCCTGAAGTTCTGAAAAATTCTCCTCCAAGAGGCATAAACTAAAGACTCACCTCTGGGCCTGGCCGTCAGACACCGTGCCACCTCACTGCAAACCCCATTGCTGTCAGGTGTCATGGGAAACACAAACAGGTATCCAGCCACACACCAGCCTGACAGATTTAGTCACCTTGGGTGAGAGCTCCATGCTGTGAATGAGCCACCTTTGCCTTGCATCCTGCATTCCCAACTCAGACACCCTTTCTGGACTGTTATTTGCCACAAGGGTTTGGGAACTCTGACTATTTGGGGGAAGCCCTAGCAACAGATTTGGCTCCAGGATAGCAGTACTCTGTCCCTTCCATCTCTGTCATGGGAGGGAGGGAGAGAGAGAGAGAGAGAGAGAGAGAGAGAGAGAGAGAGAGAGAGAGAGAGAAGAAAAAACAAGGCTTCAAGACTACAAAATGTTCATAGGTGCTCGAAGTGCTGACATAAACCTCTTCTGCCTGTAAACCCAATTCAAGACCTCTGAGCTGCCAACGCTGCTTTAACTGCCCTCTGTGTATGCTGCCTCAGCCTTCTGCCATCCACAGCCTGCTGCTACACCTGCCTGGACCTAAACAATGCTTTCTTCTGCCTTGATTGGCTCCTGTCAGTAACCCCTCTTCACAAAGACCTCTTTTCTGGCTGAGATGGGCTTCTAGTTTTTCTGCCCATTAAATTATTTTTTTTAAATTTTTTTTAAATTTTATTTATTTGTGTGTGTGTGTGTGTGTGTGTGTGTGGCCAGCTCAGCCCACCAGGGGGCGGGGCTGGCCTGGCATGTGGTGCTGGGGGATTGAACGGTGGTCCCTGTGCTTTGCTAAGCTTGTTCTGAGTAGGTACTTTAGACCACTGAGCCATCTCATCAGTCCCTCATTAAATTCTTAATAAATTGAATTATTTGTTTATCTAAAAAAAAAAAAGACCTTCTTTCTGGACTCAAAAGCCAACTGACCTGTACTCAACTGACCAGAGGTGCAAAAACTTGTTTCCTCTTTGAAAAAACACTTCTGATTAATGGCACTCAATCTGCCTTTTGGAAAGACACAAAAGCTCTGCTACAATATCTAACAGACGGCCAGCCAAAGAGCTCAGTGGATTAAAGTGCCTGAAAGCAGGTGCAAGAGCCAGGGGTTTGATCCCTGGGCCTGCCATGCTGGCCCCACCCCCAGGGCATGCTGAGACAGCAATTGAGACTGAGTATGGTGGCACGCGTCTGTAATCCCAGCTCTTGGGAGGCTGTAAACAGGAGAATCACTATGAGTCTGATCTAGTAGTGAGACCCTGAATACCCTGTAGGCCCTTCCCTGAAATACAGGAAAGAAAGAAAAAGAAAGAAAGAAAGAAAGAAAGAAAGAAAGAAAGAAAGAAAGAAAGAAAGAAAGAAAGAAAGAAATCTCCAAGTGCTGGGTGTCATTTTTGTGTGTCTACCTTTTAGGAAATCCTACCTGGCTCTCAAGCCCGCCCACATCAAGGCTAAATCCCGCTCTTTGCATCTGGACTTTTCCAACCTGGCTCACTGAAGGGTGACTCTGTTCCTGCCCCACCTGCTGCCACCCCTCCCCTGGCCTTCCTGTCATGCCCTGATGGGAGGGGAAGTACCACCCTACCTGCTGCACATACCTGGCCCTCATAGGAGCGTTCAGCTGTGCTCACAGAGAAGACCTGGCTCACCAGAAGGACCAAGAGAGGCATTAGAAAGCCAGCAGCGGGGACCACCACCACCAGGCTTTGAGGCAGCTGCTAAGGAGTCCAGGAACAAGGTCACGCTCCACGGCCTCCCCCAACTATAGTCCCTCCCTGTCACATTTTATCCCAGCCTGCTGAATCCTAGCCCCCTCCAGACTCTATCCTAGCCCCACCCACCAACCATAGCTCCTCCTCCATCTTCCCGCCCCAGACCATTCCAGCTATGCCCATTAATTGTAGCCCCATCCCAGCTCCATACTAGTTCCACACTGGCCCTCTCCATCTAGCCATGCCCATTGACCAAACCCTGTCCCGGATCCCACCCTAGCCATGACCACCCACTTTTAGCCCTACCGAGTACCACCCAGGCACACCAGGTCCATCTTGGCCCCACTCCTTCCCTCCATGACTCCATCTTAGCCCCACCAAATCCAGCCCTGCCCAACCACTCCCCACACTCCATTATCAGTTCTGCCCATCTGCTAAAATTCATCCCCCAACCTTGCTGTAATGCTCTGTCATTTTCCTGGCTTCCCTCTCCTGCCTATGGCCCCTCCGCTCCCTCCTGTCCCATCTGCCTCCCTGACCCCACTCAGTTCATCGGCTTACACCGGCCCGAGCAGCTTCTCCCTTAGCTCTGCCCTGCAACCCGCCCCTCCCCAGGCCCTCGCACCCGCGCCCCATGCAGGCCCTGGGCCAGTGTGGATACGTCATGGCCTTGTCCAGGTTGAAGGGCAGGTGGCTGGTGCGCACCAGGAACACCAAGGAGATGGCCAGCAGGGTGCTGGAGTAGAGGCACAGGGACACGATGAGTAGCATGAAGAGGCGGAAGTTGCGGTGACCAACACAGTTATTGACCCACTTGCAATGGTGGTCAAAGTCCTGGGCGACAGGCAGCCGGGTCAGCTGTGAGAACCTGTCCCTAAAGCTTAAGCTCCCCCAGCCTACTAGGCCACCTTCACCCCAGGTATTGGCTCCCACCCAGGGTGAAACTGAGTCACAAAGGCTCTGGCAGCAGTATCTCTTATTGGAGCATAGTTAGGACCCGAGGCGCAAACATGGAAGCCCCATGCTTATGGGAAGCGAAGAGTGGTGAGTCCCTGCCTTTGGCCTTTGGCCTTTGGCAGTCCTGGAAGACACCATGCCTGATGGGGAGCTCCTGGCCAGATGTGGGTGAGGGGCCAGCAGGTGGTCAGGCAAAGGGCACTCACCTCCACACAGATGTTGCACCAAGGGCAGTGGTGGGTCCGAGGTGGGCGGTGAAAGCAGCACTTTGGACACCATCGCAGGCGGAAGGCCCTGCGGTGCACCCACACCACATGGACCACCATGGGGTCCTCCAAGGAGCCTGGCTTGGAGAGAGAACTCTCCGTCGCTCTCTTGCCTGGGGACCACCCCACAGCATGGGAGGAGTAGTCCTGGGGCTGGAGGTGGGGGAGCACTTTAGAGTCTCCCCTGCAGTAGTCCTCAGCCCTTGGGTGCCCCCTCTGCCTCCTAGGGGCCTGAGATCTCACCTTGATGTAAGGTGCCGGGGTCGGAGAAGTTGAGTGAGACAAGACTGAAGAAGGTGAGAGTGAAGAGGAGAGCTGTGACCACAGGAACAGCCCATTCTCCATTCTGAGCCAGCCACCTGCAACTGAGACCAGGCCAGCCTCAGTCTGGAGCTGGGATGAGCCAGAGCTCTGCCTCCCGCCCCCAGGTCTGCCTTGCTGGGATCCATTTGCAGACCCTCAAGCCAGGTCTAAATCTCCACACTGGGGACAGACACAGGGAGGGGGACACCAAATGTCATCAGTGGTCACCTGCAGCTGCCCAGATGCCCCAGACCTCTAGACTTCCTCCTGGCTGTGTGGTCCCTGTAGCCAGCACATTCTCTGTCCCTGACCTTCGCCCCTCCCCACTCTGCCTCTTCCCTCTGGTTGTCTATGTTCCTTTTGTCTCTGTAGAAAATCTGACAGGTTGTGCAGGAGACTCACGGGAATGCAAAGAAGAAGCCACTGAAAATAACCAGCAGGACTACGTTGAAGGCAGGGAACAGGCTCGGGAGGAACCAGGAAATTGGGGCACGAGGTGGGGACTGGAGGCCTTTCATGTGGGACATGACATCCTTTAAGGTCTGCCCGGGTAGGCGCAGCTGGTCCCTTGTGGGCTCAGGAAAATCAAAGGCACCAGGCTCTTCCTCCTCCCCCCATGGCTTCCAGGGTTCCACGGTGACAGCAGCCTCAGAAGCCACAGCCCAGGACAGAAGGAGAGAAGCCTCAGTGTGAGGTCACAGAGGCTGAGGAGTGGGGTGACTTCTGGTAACAATAGCTTCCCACCCCAAGGAGTTCTGGACACCACCACCATGCTGGTGACTGATGCGGCCCAGGTGTGTCTGTCCGCTAGGGATGCATGTGCTGGAGGCAAGGACTTCAGTGCGCAGTGCTGTGGGGATTGGAACCTCTGAGGGGCAGAGAGTATCAAACCTTTAGTCTGGGGGGGGGGTCTGGTGCTGATGGGTCATGACTCCTGTGGCTGTCCCCATGGCCTGATGTGTTCACAGGCAGGGCTTTTAATGGTGGCTGAATCATGAGTGTGCTGTCGCCAGATGTGCTGTTAGGAAATGCAGTGTAACCTGCAAGGGGGACCCTCACTCCCGGCTTGTCTCTTCCCTCTCTGCTCCCTGGCCCCATGACACAGGCAGCTTCCTCCACCAGCCCCTCTGCCACATTCTCTGGCTTTGGAGCCCGCTAACTGTGCGAAGGCCGAACTGTAAGCTAAAACAAACCTCTCCCCTGCAAGTCCTGGATGTCAGTCTTATGTTTCAGTGATGAGGAAAGTAGCTGAGACAGGTTCTCCCGAGAGGCATTGTGGGTCTTAATGTCACTGGAGTCCTCTTGTCTCCTGCTGTCACGGTGCCCTTTACAACCAAATAGCTATACCCTTTACAACCAAAATGTCCTGCAGAACCAACTCTCGGGCTATAGTTTTCCCCACCCCTACTAGGCAAAAGTCATAGTCCAAGAGAAAATCTGCTTGGCTGATGAGTCTGTGGTCACTGATCCTTGGCCAGATCCAGCACAGAACTCCCTCTTGACAACGTCTCCTTCCTGTCTGATGCTCTTGTCTCTACGCACATCACAGGCTGGGAAGTCTTGGGTATTTATCTGAGTGAGCCAACCCACGTGCTGGGTGCTGGGGAAGATGCCGGCCAGGACGGCCCTCAGGGTTCTGCACAGGTCACACAGAGGGCCTCATCTCCATCCCTCTTATCCCATGTGGAATTGGAGGATCCCTTCCAGGTTGAATCTTTCTTCTGGGCAAGCACCAGAAGGGTTTGTCATAGACCTCTTGGTTGCTTCATGTCAGGGGGTGTTGTTGCTGACAGCGAAACCATGTGGGGCTTCGTGTGACAGCAGAGTAGTGAACAGCAGAAAAACAGCCTCTTTGACTTTGAAGCCCAGACACTGGGAATATAGCAGTGTGAAGAAGAGGAGGGAAGAGGCTCCTGGGATGCTGCAATGATCGAAGGCCACAGGGAGAGTGAAGAGAGAGACCTTAATGCAGAAGGAAGTGGTGGCACTTTCTCCCTGGGCCCTGACTCACTGCATGGGAAAGGTGTCTCTAGCCTGCAGACCAAGGAGTACTGGGGAGCCTGGAGGCCTTCGTAGAGAAACGCACCAGTGGAAGGGAGCCGTGGACACAGCAGACTGCAGTGGCTGGGGAGTCAGCCAGGTTCAGACGTCCCTGGGACAGGGCAACTGGCCAGTAACTCATGAAGTGAGGCCAGCTGAACTCGGAACTCAGAGCAGCTGTGTGCTGGCTCTGTCTAGCAGCTCCCAAGGGCAGGGTGAGGCAGAACTGAGTTCAAACTGGCCGATCAAGGAGTCGAGTTCAAGCCAGCAGGAGGCGCACATGAGGTGCTGCAAACTGGATAACTTGGTTTCCAGCTTCACAGCCTGAAACCAGCCTGCGCTTCAGGGGAGCTAATGATGCCGGCTTGCTGGGATGCTCCACTGCCCTGCGGTGTGTCTACAGCTGGCTCCCTGGGATTAATCAACACATCTGGGGCTCTGTCTGCCCACTCTCTGTACCAGTGACAGCAGCGATACCTCCTAAAGTGGACTTCTCTTGTTTTGTTTTTTCTTTCTTTCTCTTGTTTTGTATTTGTATTTATTTTCTTTTTTCTTGATGGTTTATTGTTTTTATATGAGTGAACATTGTAGTTTTGTTATTGTTATTGTTTGACTTTGTTCTTGTTTTTATTTCTTCTTTCTCTTGGTCTCCTTCCTCACCAGTATCCCAACATTCATGTAATCTTTCTTTGACCTCTAGCTTTGGTCCTAATACCATCTTCTTCTATTTCTCTATTTTTCCCTCAATCCCTTTTAAGTTCTCTCTCCTGAGGGTAAAATTGTCATATTGAGAGCATATTTACTGTATACAATTCTCTGGTTTGTTCTAGATTTTGTTTTATAACCACAAATGTACTTTATACAATTAAAGGTGGCAAATTAATACTTATACAATTTGTCATTTTCTAGGCTGTATTTGATGATATTGTTATTGCTGATTGTAGTACTTTAGCCAAGGTGATGTAACCTCAGTTGTTTTTCCTGGTGTACCAAGACTGAGATTGCCAAAGGGTTAACTACAATACTATTGGCCAGTACCAGAATACCAAGGGTTAGGCTACATAGGCAGCAATTCTCATCCCCAATAAGTTGAAGAGGTAGGACTTTGCAGCAGACTCAAAAATCAAAAGCCAGCTACACCTGGAAGGCATCTCTGAGAAGTAATGGTTTTCTAAGAGTTCTATGTACTAGGAATGAAGCCATCCTGCCATACAAGCATCAACCTGGTAATTAAATTTTTTTTTATTTTTTATTTTTTATTTATTTTTATT